ATATAGCGCGTATGTATACACAAATCTGAGGTGTAATAAATATCCAATTAAATGTTGTCACCTGTTTTTTTATCCATGTCAAATGAGTCAATACTACAATACTTGAACCCAACCATATTTTTTGTAGGTTTATTTCATCTAAACGGGCCATGTATGAAATCGACAGATGAAAGCTTTGGAACTTAGAGAATGAAGATGGGACAACAGCGGATGAAAAAATACGGTCGGGTTCAGGTATTTTAGTATTGACCCGTCTGACATAGATGAAAAAAATAGGTTGCAACATTTAATTGAATATTTATTACACCTCAAATTTGTGTAACACACGCGCTATATTTTTTGTACTGGTTTCAGCTTTTGTGTTAAAGTGGAACATAAGAAATAGAGTTGGAGGTAAGGGGTGTTCATAAAAAGTCGAAAAATCGAACTAAACCGAAAACCAAACCAAACCGACCAAAAAAATCGATACTTCTTAGGTTTGGTTTGGTTTTGATTTTGAATTTTAAAAACCGATCAAATTTGGTTTGGTTTTGGTTTTACTAAAAAAATAACCGAAAAAATCGAACCAAACCGACTATAAAAGTAGCTATTTAAATTTATTATATATATATATTTATGTATTTTTGTATAAAGTTTCTAAATTTTTATCGTACATATTAGTCGTTTGTATTTTTAGTCTAGTTCTTTCCTATTTAATAATCTAATTCTTTGCCTTTACATTCTAGTTTGATTGGTAGTTTTTTTTTGTCTAAATACAAGAATTTATATCATGTTAAAAATAATCGATTTTTAATTGAGTAGTTAAATTATTCATCACTATTTGATTCAATTATCATCAATATATCTTGGTAAATGATAGATTCCTCAAAGAGCAATTAATTTGATAGTGTTATGTATGTAGTCGCCGGAATATGCATTTGGTATTGTATGTCTCATAATTAAGAAAAAAACCGATAAATAACCGAAAAACCTGAAAACCCGACAAAAACCGAATCGATAAAAAACCGACTTAATTGGTTTGGTTTGGTTCCAATATTTGAAAAACCGACTTACTTGGTTTGGTTTCCTTTTAGGGAAAAACCGACCCAAACCGAACCATGAACACCCCTAGTTGGAGGGACAAAATGAAACATATAAAATAAAGTTGGAGGGCCAAAATGAAACAAGGTAGAAATAAAGTGTCAAAATAGAAAATAGCGCCAGTTTGAATGGGCAATGGGCTGTATATGTATTTCTCCAATATTTTACTTATATAAAACATTATCTAAAGTGGGGTTTCAGTCTGCCAAGCAGCTCGTGATTGTCATGTGGTAAGATACTTTAAATGAACTCCTTTAAATAAATAAATAAAAGTCAGTTGATTCTTTCATCTTATTATGGAATCTACTGACTATGATCTATCACTGTCCCAATTATACCTTCTTCTTTTTTTTTTTTTTTTAATAATTTTAATATTCTTTTTATAGTTGTATTTATAAATTGAAGAAATGCCCAACAAGTTGGAAAACTCTCACTAATTCCATTGACCTAATCTTCACATTATCACTTCAATTAGGCCTTGTTTGTCCATAAAAATTTTTTTTTTCAAAAATGTGTTTGTCCATAAAAATTTGCAAGCTTTTGGAAAATTTTCGAAAACGAGTTTATTAAAATCAAAATTTTTAGAAATACTTTTTCCCACTCACAAAACTACAACATCTTTTCAAGTGCAATGCAGTCCAACATAATTTCAAATTTCAAATACCATTTTTCAACTTAACTCCAAATACTATTTTTTTTTAAATTATAATTTTTATGTCCAAACGCCTACTTAATCACCTTAATACAAAGAAAATTCTTTCCTTACATTTTTATACTACTTTTCTTTTATATTGGCTGAGAAGCAAGAAAATACCATTGAAAAAACAAAGGTATAAACATACTGTTAATTATGCAGTGTATGGATTATTAATGGATGTTGTCATACTATTGTCATAGATACATATTGACTGATAATTTTATTTATTTATTTTACATCCGATTCACAAGGTTATCAACTAGTTCGAATTTGCATCACGTAATGGCTATTAAAAGAGGAAGCGCTTTCTTTTAGAATTGTGACTCGAAAAGACTCTAAAAAAGTGTAAAACCATTATATTCATTCCGTTACAACTCTCGACAATAACTAATATATTGACCGAAAAGAACAACCAAATAAAGGAAATTTGAAATAGAATAGTTCGATGTACCTTGTCTTTAAAAATAATAAAACAAAGAAAGAAGTATAAAATGGTTTAAGTATAATGTGGGAAAAGGTGAAAAAGATACACAAAAAGCCTCCATGCTTACCTTTTCGAGGCCTTGATTAGTGCACTATATTTATTTATTTATATATATATGTATTTATTTAAAGACACTCTTTTTCACGGTATTATTGCTATATAGCTATTAAAAATATAACTCAAAAAGAACCTTTCTTTTCTTTCTTGGACCAAAAAAAAAAAAAAACCTTTCTTTTCTTTCTAAGCACATGATTTCAAGCTTTACTAGTTCCACCATATCCTTTTTTTTTTTTGGTAATTCAAATATTATTAATTCAAGGCAACAAATTACAAAGATATATGGCTAACTCAGCCAGAATGAGTCACTGCTATGTACCACTTCTATACCCCCTGCCACTATTACCTAGTTTACATGATAGTATTTCTATTGCCCTCCTTCTATATAAACTTGTATTGTAGAATATCTTTGAGTTTACCTACAGCTCTAATATTGCAAATGTAGATAATTTCTCTCACAATGCTTTGCCTATCCCTATACACCTTCTCAAAAACTCTATGGTTTCTTTCCACCCATATGCTATATACTGTTTCAGCTAGAATCATTCTCAGCAGTTGTCCTTCAGCTGTTTTCTTCTTTGCCTTCCCCACAAACCAGCATAGTAACTGACTCCATGTATTTGCTGGTACTGGAATTTGCAGCCAATTGAATATGTCACTCCATACTTCCATGATGGTAGTACAAGTATAGAATAAATGGTGATGGTGCTCTGGTTGACATTTGCAGAATACACATGTAGTATCCACATTCATGTTCCATTTGCTCAGCCTGTCTGCAGTTAGCATCCTTTCCTGAATGATCAGCCAAATAGAAAATATTGCTTTGGGTCTAGCTAAGTTGCTGAACATAACTGCTTTCCACTCCACCTTTTCTAATGTTCCCAGTTGTTGCAAATATAACTGTTTGATGACACTGCCTTTGCTTCCTTGCTTTCGAATCTGAAGACTTAGCCCTCTTATAGTCAAGATCTTTTGTACCATCCAGCTAGCTTGTTTAGCCTCCTTGATGCTCAATATAGGATGCCCCTTTATATAGTACATATGCACCCATTTAATCCACAGTCTGTCATTTTTTGAAGCTAGGTCCCATTGCAGTTTGAGAATGGCTGCTCTGTTCCATTGCTTCAGGTTTATGATATTTAATCCACCTGCACTCTTTGGTCTGCAAACTTTTTCCCAAGAAATCAATGCTCGTTTGGTTATTTCATTAGTCCCCGACCATATAAAACTCCTGCAATAAGCTTCAATAGTTTTGATCACCTTGGCTGGAATCAGGAACATTTGAGACCAATAGGATTGAATTCCAAAAAGTACTGCTCTTATAAGTTGGATTCTTCCAGCATATGACAATTTCTTTGCAGTCCAGGAAGAAATTCTTGCTACAATTTTCTCAATCAAGGGTTGCCATTGAATTACCTTTATTTTTCTAGTAGTTAGAGGAACTCCTAGGTATTTGAAGGGTAATTCACCTTTTATGTAGCCCAACTGCTGAAGAATGGCTTCCTGATCTGTATCAGTTATCCCACCAAAGTACACTGAACTTTTACTTAAGTTAGCTTGAAGACCTGAGGCTGCAGAAAAAAGATCAAAACACTGTTTCAGTATTGCCACAGAATGTTTATCCCCCCTAGCAAATAGTAACAGGTCATCAGCAAAACTCAAGTGAGTAATGCCTAGCTTCTTGCATTTTGGGTGGAAGTTGAATTGCTTCTTGTCCTTCAGCTCTGTCAGCAGCCTACTTAGGTATTCCATGGCTATAGCAAATAGGAAGGGTGACATTGGGTCACCTTGTCTGAGTCCTTTTGCAACATGAAATGGCTCAGCCAACTCTCTATTGATCAAAATAGAGTAACTCACACTTTGGATACAGGCTGCTACCCATTGTGTAAATCTGTGAGGGAATCCTAATCCTTCCATAACCTGTAGGACATAACTCTATTCTGCACTGTCATAGGCTTTCTGCGGGTCCACTTTAATCATGCATCTAGGAGATATATGCTTCCTTGAGTAGGCTCTAATCAGCTCATGAGCTAATATAGTATTGTCTGCTCCTTTCCTTCCAGGTATAAAACCAGCTTGTGCCTCATCAATTAGATAGTTCATAACTTTCTGCAGCCTTGATGCTAAGAGCTTAGCAATGATCTTATACAATACTGAGCAACAGGATATAGGTCTATAATCTTTGATAGTAGCAGGGTTAGAGACCTTGGGTAATAGAGTGACAGTAGTGCAATTAATGACCCTGGGCATTTTTCCTATTTCAAAGAACTCCATTACAGCATCATAAACATCCACCTTCATTATGTCCCAAGCTTTTTTTAAAAACACTGCATTGTACCCATCAATCCCAGGTGCTTTATCATTCCCAATAGCCTGTATACAGTCATCAATTTCCTGTCTAGTTATATCTTTGATCAATTCCACAGATTGTTGGTGAGTCAGTTGAGGTCCCTTCTTCATTGTTTGCATGTTCACAGCAGGTAGTTGATTAGCAGCATTCCCCATAAGTGATTTGTAAAATTCTACAATCTCCCTCTTAATACTCATTGGTTCTGTCAGTATAGTACCATTCAAAGCTGTTAAGGTTGTAATGTATTTCCTGCATGCTCTTTCTTTCATCACTGCAAAGAAGTACTTGTTGTTTCCATCTCCTGTTCTGATCCATTGGGCTCTTGATTTTTGCTAGAATATCTTTTCTTCAATGAGTGACCACTTTTCTAATTTATCTCTAGCTGCCTTCTCCATCATCCTTAGTCGGTATGTGTATCCTTTCTTCATCTCTTGTTGACATTCAATTATCTCCCTTCTTGCTTGTTCAATTTTCACTGCTGCATCCCTGAAATTTTTGTTATTTAGATTCTTAAAGTCTGCTTTCATTTCTTTCAATCTGTTCCAGATGGTTACTAACTTGCAATGATGTTGTCTCCCTTGCTACCCCTTAGTAACTATGCTTTGGAATGCCTCATGATCAGCCCAAACATTCAAGAACCTAAATGGAATTTTAATACAACTATTCCTTCTTTCAAATCTCAGAGACAGAGGAGAATGTTCTGAGATGAATGGATCTCCAACTTCCACTGTTAGATGCCCAAACTTCATCATCCATTCACCATTTCCCAAGGCTCTATCAATTTTACTTATTACTCTATCCACTCCCATTTGACCATTTGTCCATGTGAAGTAATCTCCCCTCCAAGGGATTTCAGTAGTCATGGTATCTGAACAAAGGTCTGCAAAGTCCTGGATATCAGCCATTGTTACTTCATGCCTTGATACTCTATCTTGAGTAGCCATGATTGCATTAAAGTCTCCCCATATGAACCATGGTTGATTTATAAATTGAGCCAGTATCCTAAGCTTTTGCCACATTCCTTTCCTCATGTCTGCACTGTTATATCTAGGGCTGGGCATAATTTGGTAAATACCGACCGTACCGAAATCAAAAATTTTGGTATTTGGTATACGGTATTTTGGTATTTGGTATGGTATTTGGTTTTAAGTTTTTAAAAAAATTGGTATTAGGTATGGTATTTTTAAGATAAAATACCGAAATACCGATACTGTACCGAAATATATATTATATTACACAAAACACATATTATCAATTATAACGTAAATATAAAAAAATCTAAAATCTTACTTTCCTTTACTCTCAAAGTTCATCAATTAACTCTAAACAAGTAACAGGACATTTCTAATGATCAAATATTCTTTTATGTACAATTTTTCTCTATTTGGGTCGATATTTGGTAGTTTTGGACAAAACTTTTGTCAACAAACATTTTCAGTTTTGTATTTTTGAGTACTTTAATTAAGAATATTAGAGTGTATGGCTCTATGCACTAGTTAGTATTCAAACCGAATAAACCGAAGTTACCGAACCGAATAAATCGAAACCGAAAGGGGAAAAACCGAACCATACCGAATTTAATTAGGTACGGTATTGGTATAGGACTTTAAGAAGCCGAATACCGAAAATACCGAACCGAAATGTCTAAATACCGTACCGTACCGACCGGCGAACACCCCTAGTTATATCCATATATCACAGTCATATCACAACAAACATTAGTGCTAGTAACATTACAATGAATAAACTGAGCATCCTTTACCACTACATCCACCTGCCAAATGTTTTTGTCAAACATGATCCATATTCTACTATTAGCTGCTTGGTCGTAATTGTGCACTAGTTCCCAGTGATTTGCTATCTTAGGGGCAATTACAGAAGATTTATGATGTTTAATTCTAGTCTCCACAAATCCAGCTAGTGATATATGCTTGTCTTTGATGTATTTAGCTAACTCCTTCTGTTTATATCTTTGGTTTGCCCCCCTTACATTCCACATAAGCATTGTCATTTAAAATGTTCATTTGTACCACCTCTATCTGGTGGTTGCCTTTCCTCTTGTCCCCCTTCTAGAATCCCAAATGCATTTTGTGTGGTAATAGAAAATTTCATACCAGTCATTGCATTTCTAGAACTAGTAGCACTATCATTTCTCCCCTTTGAATTAGTCTCTTTCCCATTCATCTGAGTATGCTCCTGTGTTCCTGCCACTACTACCCCATTTGTTCTAGGTGATTTGTTTTGCTCCATAATCTGTGCAGGTTCCTTAGGTTTAATCATAGCTTGCTCAGCAACTGCCTGTGCTCCATTTGTGTTCTGTGCTATCTTCCCTTTACTTCTCCACTTTTTAGCTGGTTGCTGTGCTCTTCCATTTGTTTTCTGCATTTGTTTTTCTTGAACTTCCTCATTTCGTTTGCAAACATGCCCCATTTGTTGACAATCTGGACAGAACTTAGGTTGCCATTCAAACCTCACCACTTGCTGGTGTATCTTCCCCGATGGATCCTTTATTTTGATATCATTTGGCAATGGTTTAGTTATGTTAACTTCAATCAGCATCCTGGCAAATGATATTCTAGATTGCTTTGCTGTACATTCATCAGCAAAAAGAGGGACTCCTATTGCACTTCCTAGCCTGCTTAGAGAATCCTTACTCCAGTATGTCATAGGTAGATTGGGAAAAGAGACCCATAGGGGTATCTCTTTAAGAAAAGTTGCATCAAATTCAGCATCTGGAGACCATCTCTTCAGGATTATAGGTCCGTTGTTAATTGTGTAAGGCCCTCCATATAGCACTTCCTTCAAATCTTCTTCCTCTTTGAATTTTGCAATGTAATATCCCGTGTCATTCCAGAATAGTTCAGAACATGTGGTAGCCCAGTTTTGACTTATGAACCTCTTCATGTGATTATACCCATGATTTCCCCAATAACAGCAACATTCAGAGAATGTTTCCACTTATCAGCTTCCTTCGCTGTCTCTATAGGATCTAATTGAATAACTACACTTCCATCTACAATCATCGGAGGAATGTAAGACAGAGCAAGGCCATTAGAAGCCATTTGATTCCTAGCAAACAAATTTGCCCACACCGGAGCTTCTGTATCCTTATTTGTTTCCAATTTCTGAGAATTTTCATTTGCATGTACAATTGTTTGAGCTTTTTCTATGTTCGTTACATTCGAAGATGAAGGCACACAGTCATTCAGAATTTTACTCTTTCCATTATCAACCTTCATTATTCTATTCTCCTCAATTACTTCTACATTTCTAGGATAATTCACAGTAGAGCTGTTACCATTCATTTCTGCCACTGATGCTTCCGCCGGTGTCATCGATTGTGATTTCTGAGAGATTACTGGTGTTGAAGGAGATGAATTCGATGTTAGGGAGCTTCCTAGAACTAGGATCTGTGTTTTCCTTGGTCTTCCTGGTCCGTTCCCCTTGCCTCTCGCCATTGATAACCGCTTTCCCCGCCAAACGTAACCACCGCTTGGTGGAGATCGTCAATGGAGAAAGAGGGCGGTTAGAGAGAGAAATTTTATATCTTTTTTTTTTACTTAATGAAAATAATTTTATTATATGATAAAATGTAATTAAAGTATGTTTTAGTGGGTTTCATTGTCATGATTAATTGTAATTCATATACTTAATTATATCGTTGACGTATAATTAAGAAAAAATATTCTCACCTTTTAGAATTCTGTTTTAAGAAAGGTCATAGTAGGAATGATGTTATATAATATATAGAAAAGAGAAGAAAAAAAACGAAAACTAGAATTACACGGAACAGAAAAAAAAAATGCAACATACATTGATTAATTTATTACTGGTAAGATGCCATAAGAGGTTTTTAATATTTAACAAAATCTTTTGAAACCACACAAAAATAAAACACTTTAAAAAATCTCAAAATTATTAAAGTGTCCTTATAGTAAGAACTCAGAAATCGTTGAAATGTGATTAATATACACAAAAACCTTATTTCTGATGGAATCAAAATGAATTTTAATTATTAAACATAAGCAACTTTTCCCTGGTGAAACAAGCAAAAGATTTCATCCCTTTTTTTAATTTTTGCCAATGTCAAATATAACTTTTTATATTTTTATTAATACTCAAACTACACTCTTCATTCGTCATACAAAAGACTTTGACTTAATAAATTCATAACGTATTTTGTAAGGCTACTATTAATTATATTGAATGTATACATAATAAACTTTTGCAAAACAAGTTATTCGCTTATATTGCTTTTGCAATGTATTATTGAGTGTTAAAGAAAATCTTTGCATTTTGAAAATATTTTATTGTCTTTATAGTGTTATATATACCATTTTTTAGTGATTCAACGTCCTTGCTCAAATTTGCCTCACCAGTTTCTCAAAGACTTGGCATTTGCCTGAACCTAATAGATATTCCGCTTACCTATCTTATGTTGGGTCTTGTTAATAATAACAAAAGAGGTGTGAATGGAAAATTGTGGAAAAAGAAATGGAGGAAAGTGAAAATTTTGAACTAATTCACTTAACTAATGCACTTTGTCCCTCATTGGAAGAAGGAAAGAAAATCTTTGTGTATATATAGAGAAGCTCATCTTTTAGTTCTTAAAAAGTTAAGAAGAAGGCATGCCTCGCGCTGTTGTCGTCACTCGCTCGGCTTCGGCCAAAGATTGATTGATCAATCTTTTTAGACAAAATTCTTTTCAATTATTTAATTAATTAATTAACAAAAATTCAATCCGGAATAACCCATGACCCGCGACCCGGTCCGTTTTCTTTCCCGGATTATTTTAAATCCGTTTGTTGTATCCGTAATTTTTTCCACCTGTTCCAACAGCTATGGCTGTTCTGAAAGGTTGTAAACCTTTCCAGAAACAGTGTCAAATGGGCTATAAATATGCCTTGAATCCCAGAATTTTTACTTACTAAATTTTCTGATTATCTTCTTCTTCTTCTGCACAATATTTTCCAGTGTGTTTTACGACCATTGAGTGGTTCGTCGTTCACCTGAGTTTTTGGTACCAATACGCTGGTGAGTTAAATCGTTCTATCCTGGGAGGATATATTCCAGCACCTCGGGTACTTGAGGGGAATAATTTTCTTAAGGACACACTGTGTATTCAGTGAGCTCGATTTATTCCTATATTATTTTCAGAATTTATTTTGACGTTCTAGTTCTACTAACTTTCTATTTCTGTTTTTTCAGAAAGTTTACTGTTTTATTGATTTTACAGCAAAACAGATTGATAACATCTTAACGGGGTGAGATTTATCTAAACTCAATTGGATTTTAAAATTATTTTATAATCGTTCAAGGTTACACACCGAGGAATTTTAATACTGTCCACTAATGATATTGTCCTTTTTGAATCTGAATTTATATGACTTTTATACATGGTAATAGAACCGAAAACTTGCTAAATCATATTATTTAATATCTTTTACATTTTTTGTCGATATGAAATTTACATTCTTGGTGTAACATTGTTTGTTCATGAAAAATAATCTTTTTTTTAAAAAAAATTAAATTATTTTTCATGTTCCCAAAAACTGGTTTAGGGAAGTTTTGGGTGAAATTTTTTCTTCCACTTACAAAACTTTAATTTTTTTCCAAATAAAATGCATGTCCAAACACAACTTAAACTTTCAAAAAATATTTTTTAACACGACTTTAAAAATACTTTTTGCAGGTTTCAACCAAATCTATGTCCAAACGCTAGCTTGTTAATTTAATTCAATTATTTTATGTAATTATTTACTATTTTATTCTGAAAATTGTTGCTCCACCATTCCCTAAATGTCATTGGTGGCATTGGACTGCTAATTAGTGCTCTACTTTTCACAGCATTACGCCTTTTCTCCGTTCATCCCTTTTTAGACTTGTTTAGTTTAATGATGTTTAGAATCGAGATTCTCGTCATCTGACGATATTATTGTAAATAAAATATGTTTAATTTTTTAATTTGGATAAGTTTTCTCACATTAGTAAGATCTCGTTTTTAAATACCTTTATTTCAACTTCAGGTTTG